GAGCAACTCGAGTAGGAGGGGACCGTCAGGGATGCGGTCCGACCCTCGGGCCATCCAAGCACAAACCCTGCGCCTGACAGCGGGGTGCCACGCCAGCCGAGGGAGGCCGTGGAGGGGCCGCCGGCACCGGGCCGCATCGCGGCCCCGCGGCACGGAGCGGCCCCGGGCCCGGCGCGCACTTACTGGCCTGGGCGGCGGGGTGCTCGGCGCCGCGCTGGAAGGGGAAGCGGAAGAGCAGCTTGTTGCCGCGGCTGCCCGAGCTCACAAGGATAACGCTGATGGGGCTGGTGCTCTCGCCCATGCTGCCGCGCCGCAGCGAGCACCGGGCGGGCAACGACGCGGCTCGGCAGGAAAGCGGCCCGGCCCGCCCGACTTCCGCTTCCGCGCCTCCGTCGCCGCCGGTTCCCCCGAGCCGCGGTCGATCGGCGGGGCGGAGCTGCGGGCGCGGAGCTCCCGGGCGGCCCGCGCTCAGGGCCCGGGCCGCCGCTACGGCGCCCTCGGTGCGGCCCCGCGCCTCGCAGCTCGGCGCCGTGCCCGCAGCGCAGCCCGCACAGCCCGGGTGCCCGGCGGCTGCCCTCGGCCTTGTGCCCTCTGTCCCTCCCGGCACCTCGCAGTGCAGACGTGTGCCTGAAGTGCAGCCCGGCACCTCACAGCTGAGCCCCGAGCTCCCAGTGCGGCACAGCACGTCAAGTTGGAGCCTCTTGTCCTCACAACAGTTCAGCGTCTCACATTTCACACAATCACAGAATGGCCAGGGTTGGAAGGCACCTCAAGGATCATGAATCTCCAACCCCCTGCCACACGCAGGGCCACCAACCTCCACATTTGATACCAGCCCAGGCTGCCCAGGGCCCCATCCAACCTGGCCTTGAACACCTCCAGGGATGGACGGGGCATCTGCAACCTCTCTGGACAGCTGTTCCAGCACCTCACCACTCTCTCTGTAAAGAACTTCCCCCTGACATTCAACCTAAATCCTCCCTCCCTCAACCCCTGGTGCTGCTGTTATCTACCCTTTCTAAGAGTTGATTCCCCTCCTGTTTGTAGGCTCCCTTCCCTGTGCCCCCCCCCGTCAGGCCAGGACATCAAACTGGAGCCCTTGTGCCCCCAGCGCAGCACAGCATCTCACATTCAGACCCCCAGCATGCCAAGTTGGAGCTCAGTGCCTCCAGACAGCCAATATAGAATCATAGAATCCTTAGAGTCAGAAGATGTCCAAGCCCTTGTGCCCCCTGTTCAGCCCGGCACCTCTCACACCCCACTCAGCACTCCCACTTCAGCCAAGGGCTTACAGCTCGGCCCAGCACCTCACGCTACCCAGCAGTGCTCCCTCCATCAGCCCAGTGTTCCCATTGTGGATCAATACCTCACATGCCCATGCACAGTGCGCCAGATCAGCCTGGCACCACCAGTGCCTTCCAGCACCTCACATATCCACAGTGCCCCTGGCACCTCACACCTCTCCAGCGCCCATGGTGCCTCAAGGTTCATTCCCACCTCTTGCCGTGTGCCCACACACCCCTTCACTATTTTCATGTCTTGAGATCTCCTTTGGTCACTTTGAATCATTCAGTTATTACAGTTCCAGAACTACAAGCTGCTGGCCAGCTGCAAGTGCCACAAACTGTATTCCCCTGGCAGCTCTTTTGGCTCATTTGTCTTACTGTGTGTCCAGCTGAGATCAGAAAACTATCAGCAATTATATCAGAGAATGGCCCAGGTTTTTCACATAAGTTCATCCATATTTGATAGCAATATTTAGATATTTGAATGTTCTGAGATATCCCCACTCTGGGTTTTTCTCTGTGAGATTCTTCCCTTGGACTTCAGGCAGAGATGGGTGGTTGGGGACTGAAAGGGAGATGAGCACCCGCAGTGAGGGCTTAATCTGCACAGCCATTCTCTGCCAGGCAGGTGATAACAATTGAAGCAAGAGAAGCTGTCATTGAGGGGAGAGAGTTGTTGGTGAGCGATTAAAGAGCAGTCACGTTATCACAGCAGAGCATTCATCGTGCTCCAGTGCTGGGCAGCTACGTTAGAATTTCCCAGTGTGTCTGCTTCCAAGCATAACTTTATATTCTTCAATAAAAAAAGTGCAGGCGTATTTGGCACTTCCAGCTCTTGGAGATGAGTTAAAGCAAAGCTCTAGAAAGCTGCAAGCTCTTTGAGTGCTAGTAGGAAATGAAAGAATAAAGCCAGGATAAAGATTCTGCTGTTAAGATTTCCAAAGCTTAATGCACCCAAATTCTTCAGTTAGAGCAGATGTGTGTGCCACTGTTACCTGCTGAAATTCCCTTGAGAGAGAGGTGATGGTGCAGAACAGGCGCCCATGGGGACAGTTACCCCCTCTCATAGAGGTACAACCGTTCATTTAATGAGCTGGAAATTATAACCCCACTTATAGTGAGCAAACAGGTCTGTTGCTGACTTCAATTGACACCCTGCTTTGGGAGCAGGATGAAAAGAAGAGCTACATTAGTGCAAAAAAGCACTTTTCGTGTTTGCTCCATGCTTTGTTCCTGCAGGAGCAGCATGTGGCAGGACAGGCAGCCCCAAAGCCAGGCTGCTGTGCAGCAGGACTACACGCCAGCTCAGCCTGCTGCTCCTTCCCAAGGCCCTGGAGACATTTCACAGCTTCATAACAAAGATATATAGCCTGTACTCATGCTGTAGGTTTATGAAGCCTAACTATGAAAAGCAACAGAAAGAGAGGGAGATATACATTTGAAGCAGCTTCCCAGAGGATGTATCAATCCTGCGACCAGAGGAACAAGAGTGGCTGTGTTGTCCAATTCCTTGAGTCGCGTGGGCCAGGAGCTCCAAGGCTCAGCACCCTGTGGGCAGCCGGAACAGTGGGGCAAGGAACTTGGCTGAGAAAGGACAGCTCATCACTCTCCATGTCACATTGCTGCACATGGCTGCAAATCACTCTACTCCCACCAGGCTCCTTTCTGAAGAGCCCCTGAAGCTGTCCCCAGCACAACTCTGACCCTAGGCAAGCAGTGAGCCCCTCCTAGCAAACCACTGTCACCTTTGAGCTGCTCTGACTTTTGTGATAGTGAGGAGCAACTCTTGGAAAAAGAATCCAAATTCAATAAAGATTTCAGCACTTGTAGTTCATGTACAACCAACAAGCCTCCGGTGCAGGCATCACTCTGATCTTCATGCCTACTTTGACATTAATCCTCCAGTCGTGGAGGATCGCTGTTCAGGTTAAACAGCTGGCAGCAAAATAGGAAGGAGTATTGCTGGCATCTGCCTGGCTATATCTGAGTCACAGGGACTTCCCTCAAGCACTGTCAGCAGAGCTTGGAGCATAGCCATGCAGTGGGCGATGTCGGAGGCAGCGCTTTCAGAAGAAGACAACAACAGCATTATTTTCAAAGTATTTTCCTATTGGAACACTGCACATGTTTTTTAAATGCGTGTAATTAGAGATGATGAATACAGCTTCTCTCAATACCTCCATCCATTTAAGCTATGTAAACTGAATACAGCATTTTCCTGTGTAAAGAGCTTAGTGCCTGTCCTGTCAGCAGGGCAGCCACATCTGGAGCACATTGCGTGCAGCCGCTGGTAGTGCTGTGAAACACAAACACATCTTGAGAAGGAATCTGGCTTATACATGTCAACCTGCTCAGCACAAGATGCAGAGCTGTTTGGGCAAAGAACAGGATTTGACACCTGCCCGTGCCACCAGCTTGCCATGCACTGCTTCTGAGGTTCAGTGGGGTGACAGAGGGACTCACCTCTGCTTCATGTGCTGACACAATATTCCCCAAGCATTGGTAGCAACCATCTCCACCTGGGTATTTCCTGGATACTTTGCCCACTTAGCTGTGATTACAGAGCTATGCTGGCCTTTTCTTTACTCATTTGTCCCTTCACCCACCACACGTGTCCATGCACTGAAGACACAAACCTTCTAGCACAGGACTGGGCTTTGTGTGCATGCCCAGCATGCAGCACAGTGTACACCAGCACTGTCTGATGTGCTGAGGGCTATTTCAAGGCACAAGGGATAACTGGCTGTAAGAATCACACAGCTGCAAATCAAAGAGATGCAGTATGGGGTGTTTACTGATGCAGCTCAGTATCCCTCTGTATCAGAGGGAATTACAGATTAAGGAAACAAACTGCTGGGAAATATCAATGTTACTGTCTCAGGAAGCACTCAGCAACTTGAGATCTGTGGATGGTGAGGAACTGTGCACATCTGACTGGGCTTTCTCCTATAAACATGCTTCTTTTTAGTACTATACTTGATTTCATAAGCTGTCTCTCCCTGTATCCATGTGAATCACGACTACTGGTGCTGTAATCAGCAATATCAGTAGTGGAGTCAGTCCCTAACTCTTCGCAAGAGGCCAGTAAATGCCTGACAGTGCTGGAACATGTGCCAAAATCTCCAGTTTGCCTTAGAATCAGGGTCTCACTCCCCCCCCCCGAGCCATACTGCACACATCCCAGCTGTCCTTAGCACTACCTAGTGCTAGAAGTACTGAATGTGCAATACTGGGCCATGTAGTGGCCGTGTGTATTGGAGATATGGCCCAGAAAGACCCAGTCTTGTGTGCACATCTGTTTGAAGCAAGGTGACAAATACAAATTACTATCCAAGCTTTTTAGTTTGCTCCAAATCCACTTAAAGGCATGTCCTGATCCTCCATCACTAGAATGTTCCACCTCTATCTCTCTGTTCATATGCGCCCAGTCAACTTTTTCACACCACGCGGCCAGTACGTGCTAAGAAGCAAGAAGCTGATAACACCAGCAAACCAGGAGGCCAGTGCACTGACCCTTACCGAAATGGGCTTTGTTTCAGGGGGAGATAAGGGTCTCCCACCTCCATGGGTGGGCCTTTGGAGTGACCAATGAGTGCGGACAGACGCCAAGGCCCGCTCTCCTCTTCCTCTTTATAACCAGGGCTGCGAGGGCACTTAGTACAACCTGCTCTGGGTGTTCACTGAAGGGAGCCTGAGCCAGCACTCTCCTGCAAAATGACGCTGACCCAAGCTGAGAAGGCTGCCGTGACCACCATCTGGGCAAAGGTGGCTGCCCAGATTGAGGCCATTGGGGCAGAATCACTGGAGAGGTAAGTCACCCGCAGCACAGGGTGCTTCCTCTGACCTTGCAGTTAGGATGCATCTTGCTTCAGTGCTGCATGAGTGAGATTCATGCAGTCATGTTAGGATTGATGAGAACTGCTTGATGAGCTGTATGTTATTTAACATGCGTTTTTTTTTTCTGGAATCACACCTGTGCTACTAAATTCTGATGGCTTCAAAATTTTACAGCAAAAAAAATATTTTTTTACCATCTATGGGCTTGCTTCCCATTATAGTAATTGAGAATTTATAGCTAGGAGCCCTAAAGAGGAATTCAAAGTCATTCATACTCGGTGTCCTGAAATAGGGTTATCACTACTAGGAAATGAACTTAAACTGATTTATCACCTAAGTTGCCATGTAATGGACATTAAGAGAACAGCTGTCCACATTTGTTAAATGTTGTTGTTCAAAGTTATTTAAATGCTATTTACAATCAGCCTGAAATATTGTGAGATTCCTGCTGGGACTCCAGCACCACTCACACCAACCATTCATTCAGCTTACTGCAGTTTGAAGGAGTGTATTTCTGCAGCTTTACAGTGCACTTGTCCTGAGGCTTTGCCAGATCAGACATGCCTTTTCCACTGCTGAACTTTGTTGTCTTGTTCTCCTCCAGGCTTTTTGCCAGCTACCCTCAGACAAAAACCTACTTCCCTCACTTTGATCTCAGCCAAGGCTCAGTTCAGCTTCGTGGTCATGGCTCCAAGGTCCTGAATGCCATTGGGGAAGCTGTGAAGAACATCGATGACATTAGAGGTGCTTTGGCCAAACTGAGCGAGCTGCATGCTTACATCCTTAGGGTGGACCCAGTGAACTTCAAGGTGAGCAGGCACACTTTCAGGGATGAAAATTACCAGCCACAGAACTAGAGGCCACTGGTCATTTAAACTAATAGGAGCTTGATCCCTGACTATGTGGTACAGCCTTATGTTGCTGCTGGTTCCCCAGCTGATTTTTAACCTGAGACTGGATTTTCTAGCAAACCATCTGGTCGAGTTTAATCTGTTACCTGGTTGGGACATGGTTGGGACATTACCCTGGTTGGGGATTTTTTTCATTCCAGAGCACGTTGCAGACTCTTAGGTTGGCATCTGTTACTGATCACAATGGATTTCACCTTTTTTTTCCCCCTTTCAGCTGCTTTCCCACTGTATCCTGTGCTCCGTGGCTGCCCGCTATCCCAGTGATTTCACCCCAGAAGTTCATGCTGCATGGGACAAGTTCCTGTCCAGTGTTTCCTCTGTTCTGACTGAGAAGTACAGATAAATGGCTTCCACACTGTGTTAGGGACGTGCACCGATGGCACACAACAGCTGCCAAGTTCTGGGTATTCTTCCAATGCAGTCCCCTCAACTGCCCTATGCAGGGGCTCAGCCATCTGCAGACCACAATAAATAATTCAACTGTGATCTTTGGTCTCTGTGCTTTCATCTTTCATGTTGCACCCCCACCTTAGCGTCTTGGCACTGTGTTTGGAAATCACTACATAATACAGAGGGAAAAATACTAAGCTGTGTAAGTTCATGTGCATAATGAGAATAACATACTGCTGAGCAGAAGCCCAGAACAGGATAGAGCCCTGTGACTACTACTGCTCACAGTTCAGAAGCTATGTCGACCCAATGTAAAGCTGATCAGGAAATATTCTTTTACCTTGCTAGAATAATGAATGGACCCTGGCTTCTTGTTTAGACTCTCCAAAATCCAGCACAGCCTGTTCTGAACAACAGCTGCATTGCCAAATGGCATGATTTGCACAGGGCAGTGCTGCTTATTGACTGTGCGTGCTCTTCTCCAATGGGTCTGGACAAGGTGAACACCTTAGGCAATCACACCTGCTTAGTCCCACCTGTTTGGTAAAGACTCCTTCCCCTCAGCTTGACATTTCCTATATTTGCATCGGGAACTTTGCTTGCTTTTGAAATTTGGGAAGACTAATGGCCCCTGGAGATCAATGATGACATCTGAGGGACCAAAATTCCCAGTGCTTGGCATTCCCCTGAAGGGAATGCATGGATCGTCCATGGCTCTCGGCCAATACCCCAGCTCCCAGCTGATAAAAGGCTTGCGGATTTCTTTGTTTTCATCCTTGCTTTCTCTTCCAAAGTATTTCCAAGACTTTACAGTGGTACACATCACCTCTTCACACACAAAAAAAACACCTGGAGTGTTAGAGCAGCTTGAAATTCAGAAGCCCCTCCTTTGTTTGTTGGTGTGTTCTCCACCTGAGTGATCCACGTGTTGTGGGCAGGTGAATAACTGTGATATCATCCCGTGCATCTGTGTCTAAGGGCAGAGTGATTCCATTTCATTTACTTCATTTACTGAGCTCCCTGCTCAGTTCACTCACTGCTCATGCAGGTCTCAGAAGATTTTTGACATGAAAAGATGTGTGCAAAGCCCTAAGCAAATGAGCATGAACTGGCACTACAAGCCGCAGTGCTCTTCTTGTTCACAAAACATAAGCACTGTATTTGGGCAAGGAGAACAGGGATAAGATGCAGAACTTTTAAACCACTGAGCTGCTCTAAATCTGCTGGTGTTGACCAGGGCACCTTCTGTGAGCAGTAAGTTTTTAAAGCATCCTATCTTTGTGTGTCTCTGGGTAACCTGAATGTTTAAATCAACAATTTACATTGTAGGTCAGCATGGGGTACACCCCTAAGCCCAGATTTGTATCAGTGATTTCATGCAGAGGCTCAATGAAGGATATGACAGTCCCCAACCGCTGCATGCCCTATGGGATGTCCTGTGGGAGAGCGGCAGGAGCACACAGTGGGATGGGAACAAGGCAAGGATGATGAGCAAGCAGGTACAGACTTTGGAAAGACCAGGTGCCAAAAAAGGAGGTTCTTCCTCACCCAGGTTTCTCTAGGCTGCTGCAGACAGATGATGGGAGCACAAAGGTGGCATGGGAGGGGAACAGGCCCAGGAGCTCTTTGGAGAGGGCTGGATGTGTCAGAGGCTGGAGGATAGCATGGCCTGGGGAACAAGAAGCCACGCAGGCTCTGGGCGAGGGAAGAAGGGTGCATCCTGACAGGAGCGCCAAGCAGCACAAGGCCGTGGCTGCAGCATCCACAGGACAGTAGCTGCCAACTACAGGGTGCAGCCCTGATGCATGCCTTCCTCCAGCCTGGCGAGGGGCTGCCTGGGATCCCCTCTGCGTGAAGTGCAGAGGGCCAACCCAGCTGGCAGAGCAGGGCAGGGCAGGGTAGGACAGGGCAGGGCAGCAGGGCCCCCTCAGGGCCCCCTCTGTGGGTGTCAGGGCCCCCCGAAGCACTGCCGCTCCCTGCTCCCAGCGCTGCACAGCCACGGCCCCACCGTGTGGATAAGATAAGGCTGGGGCGGGTGTGCAGGGAGCTATAAGAGGTCGGCCCTCAGAGTCCTCCACCACGCACTGCCATCAGCCACCAGCCCACCCCACCAGCTGCCACCATGCTGACTGCCGAGGACAAGAAGCTCATCCAGCAGGCCTGGGAGAAGGCCGCTTCTCACCAGGAGGAATTCGGAGCTGAGGCTCTACTTAGGTGCGAGCCAGGCCCAGGAACACCTGGTGGGGTGGGAATGGGGGAGGGGGAGCCAAGGGGTGCGGACCAGATCCTGGGGTGTGCGGGCTGGGCCAGGGGGAGCTGCAGGGCAGCAGAATGACCAGCCTCGTTCCGGCAGGATGTTCACCGCCTATCCCCAGACCAAGACCTACTTCCCTCACTTCGACCTTTCGCCCGGCTCTGACCAGATCCGTGGCCATGGCAAGAAGGTGTTGGGTGCCCTGGGCAACGCCGTGAAGAACATGGACAGCCTCAGCCAGGCCATGTCTGAGCTTAGCAACCTGCATGCCTACAACCTGCGTGTTGACCCCGTCAACTTCAAGGTGAGCAGAGGCTTGGGTCTGGGGGTCCTGGGGTCCTGGGGTCAGGGGTCTTGGGATCTTGGAGGTCTTGGGACCAGGAGGTCCTGGGGCAAAGGGGTCCTGCAATCAGGCAGTCCTTGGGTCAGGAGTCCTGGAGCCTTGGGGTCTTGAGGTCAGAGTGTGATGAGTTTCCTGGGAGCTGGGATCCTGGGAGCCAGGAGCTGGAGGCCAGGGGTGGTGGCAGGGCCAGGATGGGAGACAGACTGGGGCTGAGAGACCTCCATCCAGAGCAAGGGTACTGAGCCTCTGTTTGCCTTGCAGCTGTTGTCGCAGTGCATCCAGGTGGTGCTGGCTGCACACTTGGGCAAAGACTACACCCCAGAGGTGCATGCTGCCTTCGACAAGTTCCTGTCTGCCGTGTCTGCTGTGCTGGCTGAGAAGTACAGATGAACCATCGTCTGCAACTTCAAGTCATCAATAAAGACACCATTGCTGCAGCACTGTGTCCATGTGTGCTGGGGCTGGGGAAAGGGCATAGGGGTCCAGGGTGGGCTGGGGTACACTCAGTGCTTCCCTGCACCCTGAGGGAGGGAGGGAGGGAGGAAGGAAGCTCCTTCCTCCAGGTCTGGCATGGGGCCTGCTTGGTTAAACGTGATCCTGAAGCTGGTAGCAGGACTCTGTGGATGGAGCTCAGCCTGCACCTTCCCATGCCTGCAAACCTGCTTGGGGTGGGTGAAGCCAAATGTGTTTCTTTGAACACCTTGAACAATTTTCCATAGGGGAAGGATTGATCTCTCCTGGCTCTATCACCATGGCTGTTCAGGACTTCACTGGGAATGCTGTGGGAGCTTAATGCCTGCATGAATTTTGTGGGCAACTAGACGAGTTCACTGAGTGAAAAAAATCTACTGTGAACTATGAAGTACAAACACAATTCATAGCCCCTAAGCCACAACTCTCTAGCAGTTGCCTGGGAAGAGCCCGTCCACTTGTGCCCTGGGTGCCTGCTTTTCCCATGCCATCTGGAGAGGCTAGAAATGTCACAGGCAGAGCTGTAGTCCAATACAAGGCTGCTGCTTTTACGTCACTGGCTTTAGACCTGAAGGAGATGGTGGGTCATAAGATAGTAAACTAGCCCTGGGTTTGCTCTGCATTGTGACCAGTGGAGAAAATCGGGGTTTGTGAGGAGTAAGGGAAGCTGCACCAGGAAATCAGCACCTGCTTTGATAGGGAGTACCAAAGCTATACCCCGTTCCTGTGAGCACACTTCCAAATGCAGTGCTTTTCCTCCATACTTCAAAGCACTATCTACATCTCAGCACATCTGTGTTCACTTTCACCCAGTTATTCCTGTGCCCTCAGTTGGAGGAGCTCTTCTGCCTTTGCAGTTTGCCCCACTGACGTGTGCATGGGCAGCAAATACACAGCCTCCCCTCCTTCTGCTTCCCAGAAGAGCAGTCCCCCTCCTCCACTCTTCCCCTCCTCCTGTGCTCTGATATGGTGCCAGGCCAAGCTAATCTCCCCCAAACACAAATGATAAGAACCGCTGGAAATGGAGGAAACACGGGTGTGAACTGTCCCTCCCCATGCCAGCTCTCAAACCTATTGGAACCACTGCAACCTTTTTCACCTTCCCAGCCCTCCTTATCTTCCTCACTCTCCTCACCTTCCTCCTCATCTTCATCATTTGCCACATGCAGAGCTCACCAGGGGTCGTTATGGCCATACATTCCCCTTTTCCCCTGTTGCGAACTCCTGTGGCTGCAGGACAGTGCCTGCATCAGGATCTGACCCTGTAGCTCTTCTTTGTGCCCCATTTCCAGCAGTTAGGGTCACCCCGAGCCCCCATAGCAGCAGGGGCTGGGACAAAGGGAGCTCTGGGGTCTGTTTGCAAAGGGATGCAAACTGCGGTCAGGGAGAAAGACATGAGGATGCATTGGGGTGCACTGGTGTGAGGAGTGCAGAAGAAATGAGCAGAAGGTGCAGTGAGAAAGAGTGGTGGTGTGTGTGTAGGGGCTACATTGCAGAGTGGTGTGCGTAGGGACAGTGCATGTACTGGGGCAGTTTGCATGCATGCAAGGGCTGTGCTGGAGAGGTCAGTCTGCATCACAGGGGCAGCTCCTTGAGGCACAGACTTCCACAGTGCTCCTGAGCCTGCAGCCCCCATATTTCTGTCTCCTTCACTCTGCCTGCTCCTCCTGAGTAGAACACATCCTTTCTGGCCTCCTCAGGGACCCCTCGTAGGCACCTCAGCCCTAACTCCATGCCAGGGGACTGGGGACCGACTGCTCCACCCTCTCCAAGGCAGACCCTAACCTCAACCCATGCTGATGCAGACACTAACCCTAATCCTAACCCTAAATCCAGATCATGCCAACATCACATTGCCCCAACCGAGCCCAAGCTCGTGCCAGGA